GACAATGTCTTGTTGATGAAGCGGGTGGCGAAAATAATATAAGGACCTAGTAAACACGGACGTGTTTATTGAAAACATAACCTTGCGAAACTGATATTCTGCAAGTTACATGTTTGTGTAGAACATTCTTAGGCTAAGGTGGGCTATTAGGATGGCCCAGTGGTGAATGCACAAACCTCAAATTTATAGCGTATCTGCCAAATAGAAATGTAGTGTAGCGATGACGGAGTAGGTGTAATGACGGAGAAAATACTCCCTGTTGGTAATATTGCAAAAAAATATCACGCGAAAAACATCGTGACGCATTTAAAAAACAATTAGGCTAAGTCCAGGATTATTGCCAAGTTTTGTTCTACTTCAGGGTTAGGTTATAAACCTTATTGTTTTTGACGTGGAGCTAGACAAACCTAATACGAACCCTTAAATTCCAAACCTCAAATGGCAATCTGTAGGCACTAACTCTGACCTTAAAGACCTAAACTATACGTCATGATCCCAATCTTGAATCATTAACTGTACATCTCAAACCGAAATACCAAGCATAAATCCTAATAATGGGATAATGAATCCCTTATATCTGTTGCATCCTGACTGCTGAATGTGCCAGGACCATTCACATGTTCTCTCAGGTTCATTCTCGTAATCTTGGTTTATTAGGGTTTGACCTCTCAAAGTACGCAAACTTTCTTGTCGCACCTCAGTGTTCAGGTGTCTCTTCTTATCTCTCACTGTAGATTTTTAGTAGTCCATAAAACATTGACAAATAATCCCCATAGCTCACTTGTAAGCGTTTCGAAACTTCTCGTTGTTCATGCTAATAGATTCCATTAAAGTCTTGGTAATATGTACCTCCTGTGCAGGTCGCCTCACTATTATGATCAGGCCAAGTATTTTAAGTGGAGTTGGATGTTAATATACCAAGAACTTTATTAAGTCGAATTGGTGGGGCCAGATAGTGCGTAAATTATGGGATTTTGTATAAAAACTCAGGCTATACTACGTTTTCATTTTTATTTAGCTTTACTGTGTAACCATCGTTTAATAGACAATTCGTTATTTCTGTATACAGTGTAACTGCAGTATTATCGAGTACTATCTTTTCTTCCTATCTAAAATTGGGTACCCTTTGAAGTTCGGAAAAACTACTGATGCACTTATGTCTGGAGGTTTGTTTTAGAAATTCCATAAACTGATGAAACTTATCCAGTACACGACGTCAGCATTGGCTGGTTCCTCAAATGCTATGTTAAATATCGAAAAGGATTATTATGGTTTGTGTGGCTTCCGTTTCTTATTTCATGTAGCTAAAATTCGACGTGTGTATCTAAGGCACCATTCTCTGTACACACAAAAGTGTTTTAATTCAAAGGTTTCAAATACAAAAGGAGAGTAGGTCGACAGTTTTCATTATAAAAATCGAAGGTCGTACTTCATCTGCAATACACATTTTATTTGTTTAAACATAAAAATTAGTACAAAGAAGCACCGAACATATATGCGCCGCACTTCACCGTTCGACTTGTGAGGGTTTGAATACTACCCGGGCTCCAAAACTACAGTAGGCTGTGTAATTGATTACAGATGTGTTTTAGGATTAGGGTATACTTCTAACATGATATTTAGTCTTGGCTTTCGATGTACTACAGGCATGTGAAGCGAGTTCCGCATGGAATTAGTTACAGAAAGCTAAAGATTTTAAAATTTTCCCCCATATTTCCAAGTGACCTTAAATCCTACTAAAATCATTCTGGGTTTGTGCTAACTAACAAATAACAGTGTCTATCTTGACTTTTCTCAATGTCGTGTACCTTCGGTGAATAGTTACAAGTTTGATTCTCAACTTTTCTAGGATGCAATCAATGTTTCATTGTAGTTTAGGAATGAAACTGCTCTTAAAAATGTTGACTCTGTTGACTACTTATGGCAATGAATTGTGTTGTCCTTAGGCGTATCTTGTTTGTAAAAAGATTCAGTAATGTTACCTTGAAGAAGTTAGTCAATTATCTAGAAGCTTTTGTAGAAAACAAGTGATTAGTGATCTTTGTCTGTATGTTTCCTCATATAATGCATCTTTTGTATATGTTTAAAAGAATGATTGCCATTAATTTAATAATACGGTCAAAATGTGGTCAATCTAGAAAATAAATTGGTCCTGTGACATTGAAATACAGGCAGGTGAAGCAGATATTTATACAGTAGTATTAACGTAATTAATTCTAAAAGTTTTGACAGTCAGTAAAATTCGAAACTAATAAGTCACAAATATTTAAGCGTAAAAATTACTTGCTAACATCATAAAACTTAATGATCATTTTCTTTCAATCTTACTATCACTGTTGAAGATACCACACTAAATGCTGATTTTATCCGCTACTATGATTATATCATCTAATTTTTACCGTGATCAATGGGGTCAATTATATAAGGTGTTAGAAAAGTCAAAAACTTGTTTTAGAAAATAAAGTACAGTATTGCTTTATCAAAACGAATCATTAAAGATGGTAATAGTATTTCCCTTCATCATATCTCTATATGCAATCTTTCTCTTATATATTACCACCTTTGACATAACCACTGCTATGAATCCGGTGTTCATCTTGTTGTGCTGATGCGATATGGCAACCTGGACCGATGCACATATGTGCCTGGTCTACGTTGTAGCTGACTGACTGACTGACCTTCATCAGTAACCAGAAATTATAGGAGTGTTTCTCAAATAAACTCCGTCGCTAGCCCTTCTAGGACTACTGCCGGCCCAAGCCTGGGTAAAGGAGGAGGGTTGAGTGTGGGATCAGCAACCCCATTCCGTAGAAAACAACCTTGCTAAGAAACACTATTCGGAGTAGACAAATAGACCATTTAAACTCTACCTCGGGAATCGGAAGAAAGCCGAGATTCTTCGAAAGTCACGGGGTCAATGCCCCTTCTAACACCCAAAGCAACAACTTTTATAGGTACGCTCGGACAATGTGGGAGACCGAGTGGACTGGTCAAATAGCGACGGAAATGAAAAGATTCAACTTGGCGGTTCTCAGAGTCAGCGAAACCCATTGAACCCAAGCTGGACAGAAAATATTAGATTCGAGAGAATCTAATCTTGCTACTACCTTGACGTGGTGGTCGGGCTTGCCTATCGTAATGAACTAGTCGAGCTATACTGGCTGGAAGTCATTTCTCAAGATCCTACCGTGCCATTCAGGTCGCTAAGACCTCCTCTAACCCAATTTCCTTTTCAGGTACCTCTAGAAGAACCCTTCCACGATATGGGGAACCAGGAAGTGATAACCGCCCTCATACCACTAGCAGCACTCAAGATCACGGAGATTCTGAAGAGATGTTGGCGTACTCCGGTCGCGAAGAGGAAAATACTCCCTACATTGTGATGTTGTCCAGAGAAGCTTGAAAAGCACTTATAGGGTGGGAAACTCATGGATCCAGAATCACCGAAGCATCCTTCAAAACGAAGAAGGAGTGAATTGCAATAAATGCTATCCACTGTTGTGCACCTACCAATGATAGTAATGACAACGATAAAGATCAGTTTTACGAGAGGCTACAATCGCTCATAGCAAAGTGCTCAGGAAAGGACCTAACAATCCTGGTGGGAGATCTGAACGGCAAAGGCGGAATGGACAACACCGGGTATGAAGATATAATGGGACGACATGGACTGGGAGAGAGGAACGTAAATGGGAAAAGATTTATAAATCTATGTGCATTCAACAAATCGGTTATAAGTGGCACAATATTTCCACACAAACGTATACACAAAGTTGCAAGAGAAGGAAATATGAAACAACTATATGATACGACAAAGAAACTGACAGGAAAGTATAGTAAACCAGAGTCTGGTCAAGAAAGAATAAGGTAATCACCGAGTTCCAAGAACAGATATGTAGAATACTTCGAGGAACTGTTTAATGGACCAGCTCCATTGAATCCATCGGATATCGAAGCAACACACACATCATTCTATAGATGTCACTCCACCAACGATCGAAGAAGTCGGGATGGCCATCAGAAAATCAAGAGTAGGAAAACAACAAGATCTGACAATATACCAGCTGAAGCACTAAAGTCAGACACAGAAGTAGCTGTAAACATGCTTTACATTCTATTCAGGAAGATTTAGGGCAAAGAACAAGTGCCAACAGGCGGGATAGAAGGACACCTCATCAAGATACCACATAAAGGAGATCCGAGTAAATGTAAGAACTACAGAGGAATCACATTGCTGTCAGTACCAGGAAAGGTCTTCGACAGAATGTTGCTGAACTGGATAAAAGATTCAGTATACACCTAGCTTCCAGATCAATAGGTCGGATTCTGTAAGGATCGGTTGTGCACAGACCGAAGGTATTTGACAGCGTGGATAAAGAAGCTCACGGAACCTTCTTCGACACTGTCTAATCTCTCCCTGCCACTTTCTTTTGGTGGTTGACTGGATTATGAAGACCTCCACATCTGACGGGAAGCACAGAATACAATGAACAGGGTGGATGCAACTTTACTATTTGGATTTCGTAGATCACTTAGCTCTTCTATCTCATACACACCGACAAATGTAGGTCAAGACAAACAGTGCCGCAGCAGCCTCTGCATCAGTAAGCCTCAACATATGCAAGAGAAAACGCGAGATCCTGAAATACAACACAGAAAACACCAACCCAATCACACTTGATGGAGAAACAGTGGAGGGGTGGACACTTTCACGTACCTGATTAGCACCGTTGATAAACTGAGACAATTCGATGCCGATGTGAAGGCAAGGATTGGCAAAGTAAGGACCTCATTCCTACATTTGGAGAATACATAGAACTCAAAACAACTGTCAACCAATATGAGAAACAGAATGTTCAGTACGAACGTCAAGACAGTTGTACTGTGCGGAGCTGGAAGTTGGAGAACTACCACGACCATCACCGAAGAAGTAAAGTATTTATAAACAATTGTCTACGTAAGATACTGAATATCCATTGATCAGATACTATCAGCAACAACCTACTGTGTGAGAGAACAAACCAGCTTCCTGTTTAAGAAACTGGGGCGAGATGCTGTAGATGGGTGTGATATACATTTGGAAAATCGTCAGACTACATTACTAAGCAAGCGCTAACTTGGAATCCTGAAGGGAAGTGGAAAAGACGAAGATTAATGAAGACGTTACGTTGATAATTGGAAGCAGATATGAAAATGATGAATAAGAACTGGAAAGGATTGTCGAGGACAGAGTTGAATGGGGAATGCTGGTGAACTGTCTATGCTACTCCACGAGGAGTAACAGGTGTAAGTATGTTTCTTAAACAGTCCATGATTTAGTCATTTCTGATCAGAACTAAACACCAGGGTAATAGGATATTGTACAGACCGTTCTCAGATAGATTTATTGAATTGTTCTTAGTAAAGAGTGAAGGAAAACTATGTCTCTCACGTTTTTCATGATGGTTCCTCTCCTTTATTAATGAACTTGATGTTCCACGGATAAATAATTGCTATACACTGCAACCGCGGTATCGATATAAATTTTAAGATAGTCCTTTTTCATAGTCTATTTCTTAAGTAGGAATACCCCTCTCTAGGCTAAACATTTGTCAGACGACACGGATTGTAACACTGTAAGTACTAAAGTTGGTTTTTCTTTGTTATTGTGACAGTCAGTGGTGTTCATGAGTTTTCTTGATATGTGGTTTGTTGTTTCTGATCAGCTGAATATTCTGTAAACTCATCTAAATTTTGAGAACCTTTATTTATTTATTTAAACACAAGTATTAGTACAAAGAGGCATCGAATACATATGCGCCACACAAGTCACTTGATTTGCGTGTGGGCTGTGATATTATCCGGCTGCCCAGACCGGAGCAGGTGGTAGCCGTTAACCAATAATTAGTTCTCACGTCATTTGTTTCTTCAGGATACAGGAGCCCATCTGCACCACTGGTTTAGAATCAGGGTTTTCCAACTCCCCTAGGTGGATCATCCATATATTTCAGCCCGGTTAAGGCGCTGGACATTCGCTTTTCGTCCTCTCAATTTCGTAGACAACACCCCCGCCACGAGAATGCAGTGAGTAGGACTTCCCTGGCAGCGGCTGTATAAGCCTGGTCACTTGAGAGGATTTAGAGAGAGGGATAACCCTCCTCACCCTCGACCGTACCTGGGAATTTGTGGACATAATCTCCATTTAAAGATATTAGATTTCGCATCGAGTATTTTTCTAAAAGTTAAGGGTACGATGCTCCAGCTGAATTTAAATCAACAAGAACTTTAGGGCTTCACTGAATGAGTTATGTCATTGCTCTCAATCACTTTACTGTCGCATAAACTGAAACCTAATACTTTTGATGTACTGTTCTTTTATTTTTTATTGACTTTGACTTCACTTCATGTGAGTATTTCTCGACATCTGTCTGATTGATTGTATATTGACAAGTTTTAGATGAATTGAATAAAACAAATATTTCAATTACTTATCCAACAAAATCGACATCTTAACAATCTATCCCATTTCTATCGCCACTGTTATAAACTAGCCGTCTATAATTTGATCAACAAACGTTTAGAGTTTAATAAGTTAGTGGATACAATTCTTCGATCGATTGTTAGTATGTACTGATACCATATCAGTCAGTCAGCAACAACGTAGAACTTCGTACTTATGTACATCAGTTCAAGTTGCCATACCACCGTTTAAACTGAAACTTACAATTAAAAAGAAACGTTTATGATGGTGTAGAATGTATTTTACTAGGAATTTTAGATAAAGGTCGCGTTATTGTGTTTTTGATTGGAAATATGCTGCTTAACACGGCCTAAATTATGTGAAAAAGGACTATTAATAAAAAGTTATTAGGTGGTAACTGACAAAGTTAGAACGAGGTGTGTATGAAAACATATGAACTTTTTGATCTATAGCTAGTTTGATACGTGAACGATTTACAGAAACATCGGAAGTCAACATAAACAACCCTTCCGTCAGTTAGCCAGCAACAACGTAGAACTTCGTACATATGCATATCAGTTCAAGTTGCCACATCACATTAGCATAGAGATACAACTGTCGATTCAAATCCCACAGTGGTAGAGGTGGTAAGAGTATAAGCAGTAATCGGAAAGATTAGGGTTTGAAGATATTATTCAAGGAGTGTAATCCAGTGAAATAAATTTGGAAAGAGAAAAAAAGGGGACATCACGAATTCAGAAGATTAGAATTTGAAAGAACACAAAGAGTGGATGCGCCTGTGTCATTGCAAACGGTTTTGAGCCATGTTATTCAAGGTCTATAACCATCGGTTGCTATCGTCTCGCGGATCCCAACCAGGTAGTCTACACCTATCAACATGGGTCAGCCCACTTGTCAGTGACTTCATGGATTTGTGCCATGTTTTGATCTGGCCGCCTCTAGCCTTTTTCCAACCTACTTCTACACCATAATACATCGCACATCGGGGCAGTCGGTGGTTGGGCATACGTAACACTTGTCTCAGCCATCTCAACTGATGAAGTTTCACTACTTCATCAATTGATATGCCATCCTTACCTAGTACCCGTTTCCTAACAACTGCATTACTTACTCGATGGTCTCACGATATACGAGCAATATTTCGAAGACACCTACGATCAAATACTAGTAACCTACGAATATCCTCTACTCTTACCGGTCACGTTTCACAGCCATAAAGTAGGACGGAACACACTGATGAGCGGTAAACCCGTCCTTTGGTTGGTAGACGGATATACCGCCTACGCCATAAATGGCGCAAGTTGGCGAAAGCTAGTCGATTCTTCTGTATCTGTGCTGAGATTTCGTCACTCACTAAACCACAAAGGCTGATGTGACTCCCAAGACAAGTGGAGTGGTCGACACGCTCAACTACTTCACTCCCTATCATTAGTTCAGGTGCCGATGCAACCCAATTCTGAAGCAACATTTTGCATTTCGAAGGAGAGAACCGCATCCCGAACATGTTTGCATTGTTGCTTACGGTGGTCAGAAGACTGCATTTTGTCAGCGTCTTCATCAAATAGAACTATGTCAACGGCATATTTTAAGTCAACAAGTGAATCTCCCGGCAGAAGTTGAACTCCATTGATACCATATAGCCGAATAATGACTGCTCTCGAGACCTTATTCTTAACTTAAGCTTCTGATGAATTGGTATTAAAAAACAAAATAGCTGCCCAGTAGAATAGGCTTTTTTGTTCAATCAATCGGAGTACTTATATATAAATTATTAACACAAGAGTAAACATGATTGTATTGTAAACCATTGATCGATATCAGTTTTATAATCCTCTCCCCCTCCAGGAAATTAAGACCTGACTGGTAGGTTTAGTTCATTCCCCAATTATTGACTTTTACCTCCTAAAACATGACTAAAGATAAATATCATGTGCGTGGTAATCGGTTAGGTACCTTATATCTTAACTTTTTTAGGTGTTTTGTTAATGAGTTTGAATTCCTGGCTTTGTTTGAGAAAGATTATCTGGTACTTAATCCTACTGACTGTGAGATACTCTCAGCAGTTCGACTTCTAAATATTTACTTGTCTCGATTGTACATGGTAATAAAATTTTTTTTACTCGATATTCCAAGTGTGTGACAATAACATCTTTCCTCAAAAATGTCCTCCATTTTATTTTGCGTTAGCTTTCAAATTGAACAGTTTCCACAAATCCGTCATTTTTTTCATTCAGCTTCCAGTAGTTTGTGGGATATGCAAACGGTTGTTTTACAGTACCAATTAACGATCTATTGATGACTGAGAGCTGTATAGCCCGGATACGTGAATTCAATCGTGTTATATGGGGTGGATCCAATGTGAAGACAGATTTGTTCAAACGTTGGTGTCAAGGTGAATAGTTTTCGTTACCGTAACTTTGCCTAGGATTTTCATTTAGCCCTGTTGAGTTTAGTGCTTTGGTACAATCAACAGGTGGTCCATGTGCTATTATAGCTACTACTCAAGCCACAATTATGTACGAGGTTTTGTTCATTCGCAAGCAGAACCTAGCTGATATTACAGGTACATTTTTGTCATGAAATGGGCACTAAAAATTAGATGTCGACAATATGGAAATTCTACTGAGCGCGCTGTTAAGAATAATTCTATTGGTCTCGAGTGATCGCCAAAGCCATTTTTGCTGGGTTTACTGGTGCGAAGATGAAGAACCAGCGAGTTCTGAGTCCTCCATTCAAAGTCTGTAATAAGAGTGATTTCGGGAATTTTATTTTAGATGAAAAATGTGCCACCAGTGATTTAAGTGCTGCCAATAAGTCATTGGATTCTAATATAAACCAACTTGGAGAATGCGGTTTCCAGAAATTTATTAATGGTTTAAGGTAAGCTGCACTTGTTTTCTAAAATGCGGATTTCTTCATTTTATCGAATTGGGGTAAAAAGACAGTTCTAGGAAGCGAAGATGGTGAAAAACCTTATTAGGACAACACATTTAAGAGAACAATATAGTTTTTAAACAGATCTTCATCAGGTTTTACTCTTATGCATAGTAATATAAGGATTTACAGAAATTATCAAACTATTCAACCCAAGTTATGGGCCAATCACAACAATAAAAATGGATTACATAGCTAATCGTAACAAAAAAAGTACGAAGTAATAGTAAGGTAATAGGTAAAGTAGTTGGAAATGTGCTTATTGATCACGAATAGTCAATAACTCTCATAGCACTATTCAATGAACTTTGTCCTCATTCCAGTTTTTGTTGCATTTTAAAGTCTGGTGTGTATGTTAAAGGGTCTGAAAGTGATTTCCTATTTGTCGAACTACTGACTATTATCCTCTTTTTTTATACTCGACCTGTAGTAAGAAGCATTTGTAAATGCAAACTTATCGGTTAGTATGATTTTTGGGCATGTTTCTATGAAAAAGTGTTAATACATTTTGTGCGTCTGCATATAGCCATTCCTTAAAAGCGATTGCTAACTATGTTTTTCGGACCCTTTGAATTTGACATTTTCTCTTATGCAGTAGTCAGTCTTATCATAGTGTTATTATTCTTCACTTAAACATTAATGTGGTCATCAGATAGTTTGTGTCGGCATATTTCGGTAGTCTTCGGTGGATTTCACTATTTAATTTTATTGGTGCGATCGTAAATTTCATCTAAACTCATGTCTTCCTGGATTGTTATGTTCTTTTTCGACAGTTTGTGATACAAGATGGTACTATCATATCTTACCCCTGTCTTCCTCGATTGATGGTTGTAAACTCAGATTTAGATGTTTTTTATGCTTTTGGTGAACCATCAGTTTGATATTTTAGGGGTTATTGTAAACAGAAGAAAATAGAATATGAAGTAATATTCTTTTCACTAAGCTGTCGTTATTATTTATTTATTTATTTATTTGAACACATAAATATTGGTACAAGAGGGCACCAAATCTTTGTGCGCCACACAAAACAATGAGAATTCGAAGAGAAAAAAATAATGAACAGATTAGTATAAGGTAGTGTAATAATTATAATAGTAATAATGGGGGAAACGGAAAGGTACAATCAGGAGAAATCTTTCAGTTAAGGAAGATGCAGCCATGTTTTTTTATGAAGAAAGTAAAAGAAGGTTACAGCAGGATCGCCACTGGCTTCTATTCTGAGCCATATCTGATAACGTCTCTAGCCACTGTGTAGCACCATCTCTCGGACCCCAACCAGGGAGTCGTGAAGGACCAACACAAGCCAGTCCTTTGCAGCTTTCTTTCATACCGCGACACCATGTCATGCACTGACCACCTCTCCGCTTCTTCCAACCAGTCCCAGAGTCGGCAAATAATGCACGACGTGGAATTCTCTGGGACGACATTCGGAGAACATGTCCAAGCCACCGAAGTCGGTGTTTCAAGATGGTGACACCAATTGATTATCATCTCTGTGCCCGAACACACGATGCCGAACCTCTGCATTACTGACATGGTGTTGCCACTGAATGTCAGCAATCCTTCGGAGACAGCGATGATCGAACACAGAGAGTCGTCTAACGTCCTCAACTCGGAGAGGCCAGGTTTCACAAGCATAGAGCAAAACTGCTCTCACCGACGCGTTGTAGATCCGACCTTTTACAGCCAGACTAACATCACGAAGGCGCCAAAGGTGGCCCAGATTGGCATAAGCCGCTCTGGCTTTCACTATTCGTGCATTGATCTCATCACTCACACACCACCAGCACTTATGCAGCTACCCAGATACACGAACTTCTCGACTACGTCTATCTGCTCACCATCCAGGGTGAGTACAGGATTAGAATCCTGCCAGTCTTGTAGAAGTACTTTGCACTTCGAAGGTGCAAAGCACATACCATACCTACGGACACTGATTGCCAACTGATTAAGTGCGGATTGCATGCCTTGGGCATTATCGCACAGTAAGACAATATCGTCCGCATACTCAAGGTCGAGAAGTCTTTCTCCAGGCAACAGATCCACACCACCATTACTTACATTCATCAGAGCTGTTTCCAGAATGTCATCGATGGCAAAGTTGAAGAGGAATGGTGAGATTGGGCAACCCTGCCTAACCCCACTGCTCGAATGGAACAATGGAGAGAGGTGGTTGTATGCCCTCACTCTGCCTGAGGTGTTTTATATAGGGCTTTTAGGATGTTAATAAACTTCTCAGGCACACCCTTCTTCAATAGACAATCCCAGAGAACAGTCCTATCCAACGAATCGAAGGCAGCCCTGATGTCAAGAAACACTACGATTGTTGGCCTTTGAAAGTATGGCGGTGTTCTAACATTTGGCGGAGGGTGAAGATATGATCAATACATCCTCGACCAGAACGAAACCCAGCCTGCTCCTCGCGAGTCAATCTTTCTCGGGTTTTGAACAACCTACGAAGTATGACGGAAGCCAATAGCTTGGACGCAATCGGAAGTAACTTATCCCCCGATAGTTGTTACAGAACGACGTGAACCCTTTTTAAAGATAGGGACAACTATCGACTCATTCCATGACGTTGGTACACTCTCTAGTTCCCAAACCTTTGTAAACAACGTCGTCAATTCCTTAGTCAAAAAGTCACCACCATCTTTAAAAAGAGCCGGAGGTAAGTCATCTGGGCCAGGTGATTTGTAACGCTTCAAGAGTTGGAGTTCCTTGCGGACTTCCTCCTCATTTGGTGGATCAGTCGTCACCGGCCATGGAGGGCAGGACAGTCTGACCGATGTTGCCGGAGCAGCAGGCCAGTTGAACTGCCCTTCGAAAAATTCTGCCCATCGTCCAAGACGTCGATGGATGTTAGTGATTGGCATCCCATCATCCTCGCAGATTGTTTCACTCACACCAGACTTCTTGCTGCCAGTGGCTCGGATGAGCTGGAAGAGCTTCCGGTAGTTACCAGATGCAGCTGCTGCTTCCAGCTCATTAGCACGCATCGACCACCAGGCTTCTCGGTCCTTACGCAAGCTTTGCCCAATTTCCTTACGTAACATCCTTCGTTTATGGTCAAACTCACGGTCACCCGGAGTAGACCGACGGGCTTCAATGAGTTGTAAGGAACCAGAAGAAACCCAGTGCTTAAAAGCGGGACGTTTCGCAAACCCACAACTGACTGTTCCCGCCATTTTCATGGCGTCATGCAATTGCAACCAATGCTCATCTATACTTTTCGGTGGAGTGGTAGCTAGCCTAGAGGCTAGCTCGGTTCGATACTTACTTGCAACAGAAGTTGCAACCAGCTTGCTAACATCAATCCGTTGATGGCGTCACTTCGTTGTCCACTGAAAAGTAAGGCAAGATTGGCGCAGACCAAGGCATGGTCAGAGTCCAGATAGGTACTCCAAAAGGAGCGGCAGTCTTGTACACAACCACGCCAGCGGTAGCTGATCGCGATGTGATCAATCTGAGTCCAGGCTTGAGATGCAGAGGGAGGACGCCAGGTGGCACATCGGCGATGACTGTGCCGAAAGTTAGTGCTAGCCAGAAACAGGTTGTGGTCTGTGCAAAGTTGCAGTAGACGGTCCCCGTTATCTGACCTGCGACCAACGAGTCCCCATCGGCCACCTAAACGACTCTCTTCTGTGCCTAGACGCCCGACCTGAGCATTCAAGTCTCCGGCTAGTACTACAATATCTGTCGAACGCACTTTCTGGAGAACAGATAACTGGTGGTAAAACTCATCCTTGATTGCATCCGGGCTGCAATCTGTCGGGGCATAGGCGGAGATGACGAAAAGACATCGTTTCTCACGCCGATTTCTTCTCACTTTGATGGAACTTTCTAATCTAACAGCACATAACCGACTGTTAATGGGGATCCAATCGACTAGTGCTGCCTCAGCTCTAGCGCTTAGTGCGACACCAACGCCAGCAAGACCAGACGAAGATGCCACAGGGTCCCCGGATAAGCGCACGTAAAACAAGCTTTTCGAAGCGACAGATGGAGATCGAATTTGTAGTACTTCGCCAGAGTCTTGAATACGGGTCTCGGATAGACAGCAAACATCGATATTAAGACTTTCCAAAGACATAGCCAGCCCTATCTGTTTTCCAACCTGCATAAGTGTGCGAACGTTGAAGGCAGCCAGTTTGAATGGTGCACGTGGTTTCAGAAAAACTGCTTTTGTATTCGTATTAGATGGTAGCATACAATTTTCAATCAGGCAGTGACTCGAGAACGTTAGGTAGAGCCGAATTTCCACCATAGGCGAGCTGCTGTATTCCTATAGCCTCAAGTCCAGGTATATCTTATTAAGCAACGTTTTTTGGTTGATGTACTTTAATCTATGCTTGTAAAGTAAAGTAAAGTAAAATATATTTTTTCATTTAGATGCTTCGAAGCGGAAACTGTCGAGGAACTCCGTGCAGTTGCTTTCTCGTTACTTCCTCAAATAAAATCAAAATATGGAGTATTGTGCTTCCTTTATTCTGTTTTGTTCACACATGGACTTCAGTCACTTATAAATGAAATGAATGGTGAAATGGAAGCTTTGATTGATCCAATTCATGGACATGCTAGTCAGTGTCTGATTAATTTATTAATTACTGGAGAAAGCACGCCATATTTATTCGATGGTGAAAGAGATCTCGGAGGATTTAGTGAGTGTATTTACGTTTGATTGTTAAACTGACATTAAAAGACATCAATTAGTATTTTATCTAATTAAGTGCAATTATTAATTGGAGCATATTCAGGAAGGCAGATATCATCAACTGGACACAAATGTACGTTGGCGCAATTTCCCATACCACATTAGAGAGACGAAATATATACATCAGAAAGATCAAAATAATGTAGTAGCAGTGATAAAAAGAAAGACTAAACATGGGGAATATGATTGAGAAAGATTAAGTTAAAAGTTATGTATGAAGGGACAGTGAAATTCAAGATCAAGAGGAAGATGAATATTGGATGCATGTGAACCATTGTGAATTGATTCTGAGGTATGTCATCCAAAGTCTCCAACCGCTGATCTCAATTATCACGCACTCTAACCAAGTCGTTTGCATCTACCAACATGAGCTCCCTTAGCTTTTTTCCAAACTGCTGTTGCACTAACGAGCATCACTTGTCGAGGTAGGTGGGTAGTCAGAGATACATAGCATATACCCTAACCATATCAGTCGATGGAGATTTACAAACTCATCAACCGATTTGGCACCTACGCTTGCTCATTTGATCGTTCCTCGAAACGCGACGAATGCTTCAAAGACACTTATGATCATTAATCTTTAGTCTACATATGTCTCCTACTTTCATATACCATGTCTTACGGTCATAAAGTAGAACGGAGCCTGATTCTGTGCCCTGATTTACTCAGTATATATATTAAATGGAATATACTAACCGCTTATTCAGTTTGTTCATTGCTCACTCTAAATAATAGGCAGCATCTCGGTTTTTTAAGCATTTAATTTAATTTATGAGGTACAAATTCTGATATACGGCATCAAAAATGAACTACTCAAACGTAGTACTAAAATTGTGAAGACGTAAATAAGATAACGGGAGTACAATAAATAAATAAATGAGCAATAATATTGTTTAATAAGGACACAGCTCATTTGGAAATGCAATCAAAAAAGACTCTCAGTACAAAGAGTTTATCTCATTTTTATTAAGAATAATGGAAAACGATAGTATAGTCGTCATTGGCTTCTATTCTGAAGCCACTAAATCTCACAGTCTCTTGGATCCAAGTTGAAGAATTAAGATGGACTGACAAACCCTGTTCATACATAGTTATCTTTCATACCACAGGAATGTGTTATAAACCAACCACCTTCAATAAAATGAAACACTTTCTCAAACCTTTTCAAACGATCTAATCAGTTCCCTTGAAGCGAGTGGGGTGTAGGTCACTAATTGGACTATCCCTTAAAGTACCCTGCCCAAGGTTTAACATGCCCTTAAGGATTACTGATTAGTATGGAATCACCTTCGCAAGTCATTTTATTAATATAGTAATGCTTGGTACCATGATTTGTAGCAAATCTCAGTAGGGAACACATATAGCTGCTGCTACGAACTCGTTAACAAGTTTTGATCATCAGGTTTCTTTTTCCTCACGCCATAAACTTTGTGATAACCTGAGTTGAAAATCTGCGTATAATATCACACTTCCGATTAGCGAGAGTAAACCAGCGTATCTCGACACATTTTAGAGGGAGTTGAAGAGGTTCAATGTTTAAAAGCGCGTTTGATGGGACGGCAGTCAACTTCCTTGCCATTGTTAATCTACACTTTTCAATAGGCTCCTGCTGGTATAGGTTGTTCGTTTAATTAACCTGTTTAAAACCTCTTTTTAAAATTTCTACTGCAATCGATTAGTCCGATATGGAGAGGAAATAAAGTAGTTTCTACTGTGGTGTAAAACTACACAGTAGCTGAGTCATTTTGCTAAATGTGCTTAAGTGCCATGTTATTAAAATTCCTATTCATTTAAATCTGGTAATCTCTTGAGTTTAACATCAAATGTTAAGAAGTATGACAAAAGAGTTCTAATGAAACCCAATGTACTTGATATAAAGACTACGTGATTCATAGATAAACCAGGGCTATTCATTCATATGAGACGTATATTTTCATACCTTAATATACTATAGTATATCAAGGAAACCTCTGTTTGAACATATTCAAAACAACTTTAAAGAGGTCTGTCACTAGTTTTAATCGTTTTTAATATTTACCTGTTTATATTTAAGCTTTATACGCCACCTGTATTTTCTATAACGTTACTGGACACTTGATGCAAGCGAGTCTTGTCTTACTCATGACAGTTAAGAGCATCTTGACCAACTCAGTTGTATGCACCATGGATTTTCGCCTAAATTAATAATATCATTGAGTGTATATTCCCCTTTAATTAAGTGATACAATGGGCATTTACTTAGATGAGAATTTGCGAAAAATAATTCATTTTAAGCACCTGGGTTGTCCAAATCTACCACTTAACAATTGAGCTGGTTTTCGAACATATCCTAGTTAATTGGATTTAGAAGCTTATTACGCAGATTTATACGTGGCTACTGGACTAAAAGTCTACAAATTACCTGCTATATTTTTATAGTCGTACAATGTGAGTGAATAGGTCTGGTTGATACGATGTGTAATGCAAATGTACATCAATTAACCTTATTCAAAGTGTATGATTGGTTCAGAGGCTTTATGAAAGCCCACAATCAGGAAGTGAAGCACATCGGATTTACCCAGATTTTCTTACAAAATATTCAATTCTTCTTGATAACATTAAGACTTGCTAGTATGATTCTGTTTTACTAATTCATCAAAGGTTCATATAATCAGCTATTTGATTGTCTCACGTACTTAGTGGCTTATCTCTAAAATTTATGTACTAGATGTGAGTATATAGGTATCATTACTAAAATTTAACCTAATAATTTTAAATAAATTGAGCATTGGATAGATTGGTAATAATAAAAATAGTGACATATATTCGTAATATCTCAAAGAGTAGAGAATTAAATTTCCCAATATTTCCTAACTCAATGTAGTTCGCTTCTTCAGAGGATAGCTATACAAATTAAACTGGCCTAAATTTAAACAGTACAAAAGGACAGGGCGAAAATACCAAAAAAACAGTTTATTCTCAGCTTAAACCTACCCTCGTAATGTTGGCTTATTATCCAGAGTGATGACGTTTCAATTTTTTTTCATATTATTTTCTTTATTATCCTTGTCTTCTCTCACCCTCCATTTCTAATCTAGTTGAACTCTTATTTTTATATATAAATGTTCTTAACAAGTATATGTATGATCAGATTGTTCGAAATGTATTGCGCTAATATATCATTTAGTTTTGATAATTTTTGTCGTCTTATTACACTCAAAATTTATCAAAGCGACTAATTGCTTCAACTTACTAATCAATCAAAAAACAGATTTCATTAAGTCAATGTTTATCATTCTGTTCGAGGTGATTTTTGTAAGACATGCTCGTATCTTTGTATGCTAATGGGTGTGAACAAAGTGATATTCGCAATGTCAGAAATTCATGGTGAATTTGTGTGAAGAAAGTGTGCGTTGTGAATAGATTGAGATGTGTTGGGTTAGATGAATGGTCTATATTAAATAGATGGTAAGGCTTTCTTGTCTATTAAGAGCAGCAGGATTTAGTAGTATATAAAAATTTTCAGTGATTTGGCTTTCTTTATCGTTGGAAAAACCTTTTTGTATTGTTTTGATAATTTTAATATCGATTTGATGGTCATTGAAGATACCATGCACTGCTATTACCTTTGTGAATTTACTTCTAAAAGTAACACTACCTCACTCATTTGCTGACGTTACAGAACTCACCAAATGTGTCAATTATCAGTTTAATGTAGGAATGTTATGTCGCGTGTAAAATATTTACACGCACTTCCATTTCCTGGATTTCTTGATCAACGAACATCAGTTATACTTTTAAATGATCAAAGTCAGTAACTTTCAGTCATCAAATTTGTGTAAATACAATATGGTCTCTAAAGCATCTTCATGAAATATTTCACTGTTTGTTTTGTTTGCTTCTCTGTAAAGCATTGAAAGGTATATCCAGGCAACCGAAAACCGGTTTCTTGACTTTTGTTGAAGCAATGAGATATTGTGAAGTGGGATGGTTTTTGAAAAATCCATATTACCCAGTTTGGATTTTGGGATCTGAGACACACTTAACCGTTTTGGCGTCGCCAGACATGTCGTTGGTGTCAAAAAATGTCAAGTCAGAAATTAACTCTATATCAGGTTTACGCCAAGCTGAAGTTGAGTTTAATTATCTAAGCCCAGATCAAGATACTGGAGGTTTTATCAGTTCGTCAGATTTTGAAAAATTACTGACCAAATTACGTCTATCTACAGGATCCCAACAGTAAGTAAATTTTCTAAAATCATTGTCAAATTGTTTTTCAACCGACCTTTACAAACTATAGTTATTTCGTTATTATAAATCTTTATTTTCTAATCTTTGAAAAGACAAAAGATTTGTTTTTACTGATTTTTCGCTATTGTAACTGAATAACGTAACGTCAGTAACGATAATTTTTTCACTGATTAGAAAACACAAATTCTGATAGTAATGAATATCGTTGACACGATGCATAATTATACCACTTATAAATGTAAATACAACTCAGATAGCTATAGACGAACCACAGACATCTGTATGCAAAATGAGAATAACAGAAAAGTAATCAAAAATACATAAACACAAACATAAGGGATTAAGAGAACCTTCATTATCTGTCTATGTAGAAGTTCTCAGGTACTACTTGAGGAAGGAAAAAAATATCGACTTAAGATGAATGTAAGGTCATCTTTCAACACAATTTTAATACATTACTTTGTGGGCTTTCAATGCATTTTCACTATAATTTGTGTTTAGTTGACAATTACCTTAGTTCATAAATTATATTCATTGTGATCGACAGATAGTTGACTGAGATGAATTTTTATATTCTACTGAGGTCATTATTCAAGTAGCTTTCCTCGCGAAGTTGGACTTCTTATTATTAGTTAGTGAACTAAGAGGATAGCAGTAATCTCGCTCCTCGTATTGAAGTTAAAGTTGCGAAGTAGCAGCTTAGCACACCAACACACCATATTCTCAAATCATAACCACGAGATCTACTTAGTATGGGTAGCATAAATGACAAAGCTCCAGATTACCTTTGATGACTGCATAGTCATTCGGCAATATATTGTGGTGTATTATATTCAAACTTCCCATACAAAAGCTAATGTCCATATCATCAGATAACATTGAAAACTACACAAATATTCAACTTCATGGGAATTATGGTAGTCGTAATCCTCATGAATGTACTAACTTGTATTAAGAGTTCGTAATAACCTTGATAAGATTCATAGATTGCGGTAACAAATTCACTTCTCTAGAATCCAGAATAAATAAATAGCCTGATACCGGATATCATTTCGAGCTACTACGCGCTTTATAACATATCAGTAAATAACTAATTTTATGGAGCATGGAAATGTTTAGTAGTGAACACCTGTGTCATCATGATTGACTTCAGCATTTTTCCTGGTGGTTTCCAATCACACGAAGGTAAGACATGGTAGAAATAAGTGTCAGCCAGAATTACTGTATTTTCACTCAAACTTCATAGCAGGATTATTATTCGTATTACATTCAACGATTCGTCATTATTTTTTCTTGCAGAGTAAATGATTTAGTTACAACACTAGATCCTGAAGGTTTAGGAATAATTTTGAAGAAAGACTTCCTACAGTTCTTTTTTCCCGAAGAAATGGCAAAGCACACCACTGAAGTTATTAGCTTTCAGTTAATCCATTATAATGGTTTGGAACACTCTAATACTGATGGTCGGGTGAGTTATTTCAATTATTCCTTACTGATGAAATCTTTTGAGTAATCGATATAGGGCTTAAAAACATTTGAAAAATAAAATACGCAATGTAGCTCAATGACCAAGTACAGTTATGTGTCACGCTTTTTATACGAGCACTTTTGATTTCACTCGCATATCCAGGTCCTAAACGATAAAGCTGGTTTGGACCTAAAACTTAATGTGTCCCATTCGACTGTTTGAACTCAGTAAAAAATATGATTTCTGATTGTGTTCAGTTGAAAAATAAGTCCCTTAAGTTTCTATAGCGTGAAAATGCTTAAGTCGATTCCTTACATTCGTAGGCGAAAACATTAGCTGTTCAAATTATTATGAACCCATCGCTAATGGTAAAAGAAACGTTACTACACAACACTTAGTTACAACTATCGTATAATTCATAGCTGGAAGCAACTATCGCTAAAGTGCTTACTACGCTTTTTGTGTAAACAGGTTCGATACAGTATTGGTGAAGCCCGCTTAATAGATCCTACAGAAGAGCTGATCGAGACCCAACCTATTGATCAAAGTCCCATACAGCAGTGCTTGGCAACAAAATGGCCTACAATACGAATCAAATGGAAACGTAAACAGAAGTCCGTCACTGAACTAATTTATTTGTAATATATTGCAGGAGCAACTTACATTATTACCCAAACGCTTTCAAATTTAAATTTGTACAGTTGATCACTTTGTAATCAAAATGGAGTGTTTTTATGTACGTTATCATGTTTTAATGTGTTTAATCGCTTTGTTATGTTATTTACAAGCTCCATACATAAGCTTGAAGGTTTTATTTCTGGGATAGCAACAATTACTGCTTCTCTGTCTCTAGCGCGGACTGAATGTATATCGATAGGTATACATTTCAGAATGGAGATACTTGCGATTTCAGTCAGCTTTCCACCTCCGGACGTCCCACTTATTGCGCTCCCGAATAATGATTTATGGTACCCACAAAATGGATATACATTCTGACTCACATATATTTACTTACTCCTGTTACCCCTCGTGGAGGAGCATAGGCCACCCACCAGTATTCTCCATCCAACTCTGTCCTGGTCAATCCTTTCCAGTTGCTTTTTATCCCTTTTATGACTGTTTCTGATTCTCGATACACGGTGCTCTACGGTCTTCCTATTTTACATTTCCCATCACGGTTCTAAGTTAGCGCTTGCTTCATTATGCATTTTGATGACTTCCTCAATATGTGTTCTATCCACTTCCAACGTCGTTTTTAATCTCTTTCTCGGCTAGAAGCTGGTTTTCTTTCTCCCACAGTAGGTTGTTGCTGATCATACCTAGCCAACGGATATTGAGAATATTGCGTAAACAGTTGTTGATAAATACCTGTATCTTCTTGATAATGGTTGTAGTTCTCCAAGTTTCAGCTCCGTACACATTGAAGATACCGGTTCTCGTCCGATCCCATATACAGAAATATACGAAAAAGAATTCCACCTAAGTAGGTATTTACTTACTTATATATGCAGAATTTAAAGCTACTCTCGTAAAAATTCAATTTGTATTGTTTGCTTGTATCTTCCCATTGTTGTTTAGGACTGAAATTGATCAGTCTCTTGTCGGCATATGTGCATCCTGTGCAGAGTGCCTCGATGTTGCCTTAAATCACAAGCTTTTTAAGCAATGATGGGTGGCTGCTAGCAGTGGAATCCAGGACGCGTGTTTCGTCCTATTTCGCACTCATCAGCTGGATTTATCTGCATCCTAGAGTTGATGTTCCCTCTGGGACTTTGTCGTATATCTTAAAAGCTGTCAGTTAATTTAAATTTTATTCTAAATATAAATCAAGAAAGCCCCGTCCTATACAGAATTCTGCAATAACTTCAAATAGATCAGATTATACTTTCACGGTTTCTCTTCATAATTCTAACAGCTGTATGAGTAGCCTATTAAAGTTTCAGAAACTTTACATAAATGGACACTTACTTACGCTTGCCCTGTTTGATAACTTTAATGAAATTATACCTTATCGATCAATGTAATCAGCCATCGAATTTACATGGAGCTTAAAAAAACCATATAGTCTTGGTGTTTTTCTTCATGAAAAAATATGTATTTTAAAGCCGTGAAACCGCTCACATATACTCCAGTTCACTTACACCACACGTCTTTTCTTACGAATATAGCCTGTGGTCCATAATCAACGCAAGTTTAGCACAGGGTCTGCTTGACAAAGCGTTTGCTGAGGCGCTGCTATTACTAATAGACCACGCCAGGATACCACTGAATCGCTATCTACCACGAGCCTCATTGTCACACATTTAATATTGTAGTTGGTTAGGATTATGATGTGCTTTATGTTGCCGAATTTGGGAGGCAATCCATCAAGTTTAAAGAATTACGTATGGAAGGTTCAAATGCGTTAGCATTAACCGATCCGACACAGTTACTGTTTAAGTGTTGTTTCCAAGCTGTAGATTATTAGTGTAGGTGACCTAAATGAAAGTCGGTCAACTCGGGTTGAACTAGAATCGTTTGTTCTCTTAGCTTAACTTCAAGTTACACCAGGTGGTTGGCACATAGCCTGGTCTATCGCATTATGACAACCAGGTAAATTGACTTTTTTTACTTATTAGAATACATGATCTTATTGCCAAGTAATATATTTGTAAGAACGGATTAAGGGAGTACAAAGTAGAACCACTAGTCCATGGTATGTGACTGACAAGTCAGCGTGGGAACGAATATGTGTCGAAACGGAACGTTACTTTAAAAAATATCAATATGTTCCATTCAGGAGTTGTATTTACTACCGAACTCAGTTAAATACATGACCATGTAACGACCCCCATTACCCATTGACCAGGAATTGTCAGAAAGTAAAAGAAATTCTGAAAGTTGAGTCTTAGAATCCAAAAGGTTTCTTAGGAGCAATGGAATGATCGGAGTCATTTAAGAACCAGGTTGTTTTCCATCTTAAAAATTTCCATGTTATATTAGTCATAAGTATAATTTGTAATCTATAAAATTAAGAAAAACACACTTAGGCCCACTATGAGTGGATATGGTCGGTTGGTTGGGAATGTGACCTAGCCACCAGGAGGACGATGGTCCGGGTGCATGCTGAAGCAGTAAATCTCATTCTCATACATGGGAAAACAATTTTAAAAATACTCTAGTCAGAACAAGTTAAAAATTCCCAAACCTAAATGTCTTTTGTGATTTATTTACACTATTTTCCACTCTTCAATAATATAAGCATGATATTTACCACATTTAAACAGGCTCTGTGGAATTAAAGACAATATTGAGTTGGTTTTAAAGAAGGAAAATAAAAATTTTTGGGGTGGGGGAATGAATGATATAAACGTGAAAATAATTTAATGGACGTGTATGTGAAAACAGACTAAGAAAAAACAGTTATGTACGTATTTCCAAATGAACAAAAAAGAATGTAAAAAGTAAACGAGTCATTTATATACATTGAAGATAAAATGAATCTAAGAAGTTAATTAGCTGCAACACAAGACGATGTGTTTCTAGTTATAAAGTTTGGATATTTAGAAGGAAAAGTGAGTGAAGAAAAAGAAGGCATGAAAAGATTATCTAACGTGCCATCTTGCTGTGTTAATGACATGGCAACCTGGACCGATCCACATATGTGCTTGGTCCTACGTTGTAGCTGACTGACTGGACGTGTAAGGATGTCCATCATGATAATGATAATAATAAATACAGACATTAACGGACTCCGGATATTTAGATGTAAAGTAAGGGAAAGAAAGGAAATCAACGAGCAAAGTTTCAAAAGTCCCATTTTGATTTGCCGTTGATTAATTAGCTGTAGGACCATGTTTGTATGAATCATAGGTAATTACATTGATATTTATTAGGCGACAGAGAACACTTCCGCAAAGGACGTCATTATGGAGACTTCTGAACCAGGTTATAGTTTCACTGCAACGGATTTTCAGTGGGAGTCTGTTCTACATTTCTACAACGAAGAAATTTAGGCAAAAGTTTGTGTAGGTTCTCGGAATCGCTAGAATATTTCCCTTATTGCCTACGTTGTGGGGTGATGTCATAGAGTACAAAGGGGTGGGTGCCGAAGAGTAAGAAATATCATTTATGAGACGGAGGACAAAGACGAGTTTCGTATTAATGCTTCTGATCCAGAGAGGATCTAACTTGAGTCGTTGACATTTTGGTGGTAATCCTTGTCAAAATATCCAAAACATCTTTGATGGATTTCCTTTGGACACCCTCAGTCTTTATTAATTATTATGCCTGAAATTACTGTAAATCGAAATAGGTATAATGACCATCTGGATTAGATGCGGGTATTTATTATTATGAGTGTAGTTCCAAAGCTGGTTTTGGATTGGAGAGTAACTGTTGAGGCTAGTTCAGTTACGCGCTATTGCCCAATTGAAAATAAAACATTATAATTGAGTAAATGACGATTCTAAACAAATATTATCATTCAGTTGTTCAATCAATAGACAATTCAAATGAACGTTATTCTATTCTTTCTGGATAGTTCACGCACACATTGTTTCCAGTTCTGCAAGAGTGCTTCAAATCACAATAAAAATGCACACTCCCAGTCAATCCAAGCAATACAGTCATATGGAGGAGATAATTAGTACCGTTGCCGAAACGAATAAGTATCAACTAAAACAGCATAAATGTAGTTCAGAAAAAACATGGGAATTCAGTGAATGCATAAGAAAAACAACGAATAAAATAGAAATGGTGCAATCTCAAGTGTAATCAAACGATCAGTCGAATGTACATCTGGCGGAATCGAGAGGAATAAATTTAAAGTGTATACGTGAAGTAATTCCCATACATAAATCTTTCAAAATGGATCTTACGATGAGATTTCTTGCTTTGGATACTTGAGATGAAGTGTGCTTGAAAAAATTCAGAATATTGCTATAGTTTGCACCCGCGTCATAAACAACGCTGAGGGGTTTCCGTATATGCTTGTTTAGTACCAGATGTAGGTTAGTGCTTTGACCAAAGTAAATAAATCCACTGTTGTCAACATTCAGTGACAAACTCTACGACTTAATCCACTCGTAAAACTTATTTACGAAATATAGCTTTCTATTATAGAAGAGAACGAATAGGCAGCATTTAGGTTTGCCATGCTGAAAAAGTAACCACGCGTCATTGATCAGAAAGAAAAAGATTAGTGGATCTATCAGTTTCCCTCGTATGACCCAAACGCCCAAATTCATAGTTTTAGGATAGCAAGATCGAAAACGATTAAAAAATTTATATCATTGATTGTCCAGCATCTTTTCCTGGATAATTTGACCGAATATAATGTTTTGAATTATAGCACGAACTAAGAGTACCAGAAATAACGCAATTGAATTAAGAAGTGTGACGCAAGCACAAACGGATGTATTGTATTTGGAATTCGAAATCAAGCATTCAACAACTACAAAGGTATCATTAGTTCATTCAAACACCACACCAAAGTATTCCAGGTGCCCTATAGAGCATGACAGTTTAATCGAAAACCCATTTTTGCGATGGGCTAATCAGTTTTGCAGAAGAAAAAAAAGTAATAATGGCTGTCTTTGGGTGATCTTGAGAGCATGGACGTCAGGTTAGTAGGCCTATAGTTAGCAATAT